CCAGAATGTCCATTGACGCATTTAAATCCTTGGTTGTTATATTGTTCAGCAAGAAGTCCACTCTCTACGAGAGAATTTACAGAGATTTCATTCCGATTCGCATTTTAGTTAATCAAAGGGGTCTTACTTGGTGGAGGTACACCTGCATGAATGGAGGTGCCTGCAACAATATCGGCAACCGCTGCCAAACCCTTGGCAACTGCTTCCAAACCCTGAACAAACTTTTCTCCAAGCCAGTATATTCCACTCGTAGCCAACCGTGCTGTTGCAGCTTCACTAGAGACTGTCGCACCACATTTCCTGCATTTGATTCCACCCATCTAGTTTGCTGAAACTAGATCACAAAAGAAAAGATTTTCTTAAGTTTGAATGAAATATAAAAGATGTTTCACAACCTCTCATATTTATTATTGAGGTTGAGGTTGAAGGTATATTGGCGAGCTCCGATATATCTATATATCTGTATATCTATCAAAACTAACACATCTCTAAATAGTGCTGATAAAAGGAGAAAGAGAGAAAGAAAGAATCCAAGAATGTGAACAGAAAAAATAGTGTGAGTAAGAATGAAATGTGTTACAAAACAGACTGACCTGTCTCTTAACGAAAAGACAAACCAATCTGCTAATCTCAACTCTTGCTTTTTTAGCAATCGATGAAAAATTGAACGCTAAATTTTAATATTGAAATTCTCAATGGTATTGTGCTTAAAATGTAAAATGAATGAATTGACAAGAAATGCAGAATTTAATTTCACCGATGCATTGCGTGTTATTATTTAAACAATAATGAAACACTCTTCAGGGCTCTGCATTACATATGTAGCACAAAAAATGAATATAATAAAACAAAACAAGTAACGTGACGTAAGCGTTGCAAACCTTCTACTAAAAGGATATTCCTATGATGATTTCGAATTCTAGAAATTCATCTAATATAAATGCATAGTTGGTAACAGTCCATTCGAATGCTTCTGTGTAAAGACAGCAGTGATATACCCAAATATATTACTAGGTTTTCACTTTGTTGTTATGTAAATACGAGTTATGTTTTTGATTTCTTTGTGCTACTTCATGGCGATTGAGAAAACATTTTCAAGTTGAATCTTTCTCGAATAGAGAAGACATTCCGGACGCTCTGATTGACTTCTAAAAAATTTTGCTCAAATGTGATTAAGATCGAGACATTGACTGGTCATGCTAACTTCTCAATATTTTTCATGTCGAGTTTTTCTGAACTAGGCTAGGGATGCACCAGTGACAGGGCTGCCATCTGTACCCCATTTCGGGGTACAGTACCCCATTTTAACGTTTTGTACCTCAAAAAGATTTGTACCTCAGAGGTACAAAATTTGTACCCCATTCGGACAATTTCCTTTTGCATAAGATTAAAATCATATTTTGTTAAAATCGATAAACTTATTGACTGTAGTTGACATCTTCATTTAAATAGTAGAGATACGAAGAGTCAATTACATTGGCTGATTCATGACCAATACAGGACTTTGTTATTCTTAGCATTGGTGTTTCCTTCTCTTTTGCAATTTGAATCTCACGATCGAAATTAAATCGTGTTTCTAATCGATTATAGTTTTCTATTAAAAGAATTCATATATATTTATTGCAAAATACCGAGGAATTATTGTAGATTTTAGTTATGCAGCAAATGAACAACGATAATTCTATTGAACTAGCTATTGAAGTCATTGAGGAAGAGAATGATTCCATGACACTCGAATTTGAAAAATCAATAACACCAAAAGAAACATCAAGTTCTATGTCTAGATTATCTTTCAATATAGAAAGAAAGTCATTGAATTCTTCATCAAAATCAAAAAGATATTGCAAGTTCAACAAAGAATGGATTAAAATTTCGAAATATGCATCATTTTTACAAGAGTGTCTAACAGATTCATCACTTGCACATTGTTCTGTGTGTAAATCGAATTTTTCAATTGCTAATGGTGGGAAGTATTTGATCGATCGTCATCTTGAACAAGCGAATCACAAGCGTCTAGTAGCAGCAGAAGCTAAACACAAATGTAATTTAGTTTGGTCTTAATTCAAAAGAATACTGATTATGTTGATCTATTGTCTTTTAGCACATTCAATGTTTGATTTTATTCCTCACTCGACTGAATTGACAAAGTTGGTTGCTGCTGAAATCACATTAGTTTATCACGGAATACGTCATGGACATAGCTATTTGAGTCAGGCATGCACTGCTGATGTCTCGAAGAAATTGTTTCAAGATTCAACTATTGGAAAAAATCTCACATGTGGACGAACTAAAGCTCGTGAAATTGCTGCTAATGTTTTAGGTGAGTAATAATTCTTTTCTAAAGCAGAAGTATACTGACCAATTAGAGAAGAAGGGTAAAGATCGTTCGATGAATATTTCTTATTAATATTTCTTATTTTTTTACGATCTTTTTTTTAGCTCCATTTATGACTTCTCAAATTACAGAAATGATTAATAAATCCGGTTTTTATTCTTTATCATTCGATGCATCTAACAAAGGTCACAAGAAAATGTTTCCATTTGTTGTAAATTACTTCACAGTTCGTGGTATCGAACGATCAGTGATTGAAGTAATTGAACTAGTTAATGAAACAGCTGATCATATTGTTGCTTCACTTCGAGAAGTATTGCAAATGAATAATATTGATATTCAGAATATGACATCAATTGGTGCTGATAATACAAACGTTAATTATGGACGAATTCATTCTGTTTTTTCTTTGTTGAAATCTGATATTCCACATCTAAAGAAAGGTGTTTTGCTATTGAAGAAAAATACACATGTCCCTAATAATAATGTTTTCTTCTAGGAAATTGTTTTTCACATGTCCTAAATAATGCCGTTAAAACTTCACATATACACTTGGTCATTGATGTTGAATCAATTTTGTCAAAACTCTATGGTCACTTTTCTTCTTCAACAAAACGAGTAGAAACTCTCAAAGAGTACTTTGATTTTGTCGAGCAAGATCATTTAGTAAAGCATATATCATATTATTAATAGTCATCAATTTTTTTTATATTCAGTTATTATTGAAACACATCAATATTCGTTGGCTTAGCCTATATCCGTCTATTGAACGATTACTCAAAGTATTTGATCCATTATCTGCTTATTTTTTGGATTTGGGTGACGAAGCTGCTTTTCCATGTCCACCAATAATTTCAATGTTTTTTACTTCTACTGAAGCCAAATGTACAATGTATTTTTTGCACAATGTTTTGTTTGATATACAGAAAAAGAGCTTGGAATTGCAACGATACTACGTTTCTATTGTTGATTTGAGTAGAATCATCACTAGTCTTCTTAGCAAACTTAATGACCGATTGAAACAAAATTATTTTGGTTATCAAACGAAAATTCTATTGAATTCATTGCCCGATTCAGATCGAAAAAAACTGAATCAATCATTTATCGATTATGTGTCTAGTGTAATTAAATATATTGAGAAATATTATGATGAACAATCTGAATTGGCTGAATTAACTGCCGTTTTTGGTATGTTTTATTGTGATAATTAGATAAGAGAACAGCTTCATTTTTCTAGGCATACGTGAAATCGATCAAATAAAATTTCATCAAATTGAAGAGTGTGTCGTTTTTCTCAAGTTGGAAATTGATCATGATAAATTATTCGATGAATTGAATATTTTACAATCCACATTCAAAGAAGTCAATTCATATCGTGAACCATTGAGTGATCAAATTCGAAAATATATCGGTGATGATGCTCATAATTTCAGTGGAGATATAATCAGTGATCACAGTAATGAATCACAGGATGAAGAAGATCTTTTTCATAAACCAACAATTGAAATTCATGAAAAAGAAAATCAGATTCGATCTGATCAACTGTGGGCATATCTGCTCACAAAATCAACAACTATATGCAGCGAAATGACGAAAGTTCTTGCCTATGTTTATTCGATTCCTTGTTCAAATGCATTTGCTGAAGGTGTCTTCAGTCATATGAAGCACGCATGGACACCAAGTCGAAACTCGATGTCGACTGAAACAATTGCTACTGAATTAAAGATAAGATTAAATAGCAAAATAAAATGTGAAGATTTTTATTCTTTTGCACAATCTCAACCAGAATTGATTAAATCTGCTAAAAGCAAGCAGAAATACAGTTATGTGAAAAAACGTGTATTAGCTAATGCAAACAGAGAAGATTTACTTTAAGTGAATATTTTTTATTGTTTTTTTGAACAGATATATGTCGAAAGAAAAAATGTATTTGTGAACATCTTGTTTCGAAATAAATATTAGAATTTAAATACTATTTTCAAAGCCGAGACAAAATTGGAAACAATCTTTTTACGCTAAAAATACTTTTCAAAATCGATTTCTCATTGACACTGCTTGTTATTCAACAGAAAGTTGTGTACCCCATGGACGTACCCCATTTAGAACAGTATTGTACCTCACATGTACCCCATTTAGAAATTTTTGTACCCCATTCTAAACCTGAACAGATGGCAGCCCTGACCAGTGACGACTAAGCGCTGACCCTTCTACCGTTGTCATTGATGAGCCAATGAATCGGTAGACGTGTTCACATGACGGTCATCTTCTTCCAAAGGCATATGATCATAACAAAGTGTTTCCTTGCCATTTTACATTAAGTAGTGATCTAGGACAGAACAGAAACTCGGTGAGTAGAAGTCAACACACTTAAGCTAATCGACTAGAGTGATCCGATGATAGTATGTCTCGATGTCTACTTTGAATATAGGAGTTGAAACGACCAACCGAATAAAATCAGAAAGGAGTCAACAATACTAAAACTTTATCTAAGAAAAAACTGAAGACAGTAATGAGAAGAAATGACTTTAATAAAGTATCAGAAAGAGAACGAATTATGCTTCAAGTTACTTTATAAATTTTTACAAACTGCATTATGAAACTCTAAGCCAATCACCTACATGAAACTGAATACTTTCTTGTGATGCTACAGAGTAAATATTACCATAGGTGGCTATAATATGATTGATTTATATATCATATTACTATTTGCGTGAGGCGTATTCGTACGACGAAAGGGGTCTATGAAAAATTCTTTTTATCCTGTTTTAGTTTTCTTTATACATTAGTGACTCCTTTTAGTGTTTTTAGTCCCTTTAGTGCCTTTTGGCGCCTTTTCTTCTTCGTTATCTTTATATCACAAGACATGTCCTAATTCTCCTAGCTCCGCAGTGTAAAATCACAGATACTATTAGACATACACACTGACTCATAGTCTCTTGTTATCGCATAATCGCCGAATCAATTGAATCATTCTTCTATAAAGGAAGC